ACCACGATGGGGTGGTCACTGACCTCGAGCCAGACATCCTGGAATGTGAAGTCAAATGGGTCTTAGGAAGTCTGAGCAACAACAAAGCTAGTGGAGGTGGCAGTATTCCAGCTGAGCTATTCAAAATCCTAAAAGACGATGCAGTAAAAGTGCTACACTCAATATGCCAGCAAATTTGGAAAACTCAACAGTGGCCACAGGATGGGAAAAGGTCAATTTACAGTCTGATCCCAAAGAAGGCCAGTGCCAAAGAATGTTCAAACTATTGCATTAATTTCACATGCTAGCAAAGTGATGCTCAAAATCCTACAAGCTAGGCTCCAGCAGTATGTGGACCGAGAACTACCAGAAGTACAGGCAGGATTTCGAAGAGGGAGAGGAACAAGAGATCAAATTGCCAACATACTCTGGATCATGGAGAAAGCTAGGGAGTTCCAGAAAAATATCTTCTTCTGCTTCATTGACTATGCTAAAGCCTTTGATTGTGTGGATCACAACAAATTGTGGAAAGTTCTTAAAGAGATGGGAATACCAGACCATTTTATTTGTCTCTTGAGAAACCTATATGCAGGTCAAGAAGCAACAGTGAGAACTGGACACGGAACCACTGATTGGTTCAAAATTGAGAAAGGGGTTCGACAAGGCTGTATACTGTCACCCTGTCTATTTAACTTATATGCAGAGCACATCATGAGAAAGATGGAGCTAGATGAATCACCAGTTAAAATTAAGATTGCTGGGAGAAATATCAGCAACCTCAGATATGCAGATGATACCACTCTCATGGCAGATGCGGGTGAAGGAATAGAGCGGAAAAGTTGGCTTGAAACTCATCATTAAGAAAACTAAGATCATGGCATCCGGTCCTCTCACATCCTGGCAAATAGATGGGGAAGAAATGGAGGTAGTGACAGATTTTATTTTCCTGGGCTGCAAGATCACCACAGATGGCTGTGAAAGCTGGACCATAAGGAAGGCTGAGCGCCAAAGGATTGAGGCCTTTGAATTGTGGTGCTGGAGGAGACTCCTGCGAGTCCCTTGGACTGCAAGGCGATCAAACTGCTAAGTCCTAGAGGAGATCAACCCTGACTGCTCTTTAGAAGGTCAGATACTGAAGATGAAATGCAAATACTTTGGCCACCTAATGAGAAGGAAAGACTCCCTAGAGAAGAACCTAATGCTGGGATCAATAAATGGCAAAAGAAGAAGGGGACAGCAGAGGATGAGGTGGCTAGATGGAGTCACTGAGGCAGTTGGTGTGAGCTTCGGTGGACTCCAGGAGATGGTGGAGGACAGGAAGGCCTGGAGGAGTGTTGTCCATGGGGTCGCGATGGGTTGGACACGACTTCACGACTAACAACAAGAACAATCAATTGGTAATATATGCAATGTAATCTCTTTCAAGACCCACTATATCCTACCATTTCCATTTAACCTTAAGAGAAGGGATACTTGCCAATTCCCTACTAATAATTTTGATAAGTGTCATGAACAAAGTGAACCACATTTTCCTACCTGTTCTTCCCTGCCTGTCTGGTATCCACCCAAAATAATGTATTCTTTTTAGAGCAGGAAAACAAGCATCTTTATCTAGCTTTCAATTTTCATTTTATATGGTTCTTCATCTCACAAGTTCAAAAGAATCTAATGTACCATATAATTTAAGGCTCTGCAGCTTGATGTTTGTGTGAGAAAACTCGCTCTCTGACTTTGCTCTATGATATGCCAACACCTATAATTTTCACTCTATTTTCTGATATGGAAGTCTGCGGCTAGAATTTAATAATTGCTGACAGTTTCCTACTAGCTTTGACTAGTTTCCAAACGTTCAAATACAGTATATAGGACTGATGAACCTGTTTTGTTTTTATACTATCTAGCTTCCCAATATTGATGAACCACTGATTACTAACAGTAATCCATTTTCCTATATGATCAATTTTTAATACGTTTCTGGTTTGTTTTTCCAGCTGGGGTCATCAGTCCCCAGAGTTGGCCTCAAGGGTAGGCATGGCTGGACATGAGCCAAGGGCCCATACCCCAGCAAAGATCCACTGACAAGAATCCCCAGGAGCTGTTTCCAACTTCACTACTGCAACCTACTTGCTCACCTGGTTTCACTTTTGCCTCCTTACTTGCCTTGCTTCAGTTTATGAAGCAGATGCCTGCTGGCATTCAGTAAAATTCCTGTTTAAAGCTTGTAGTTGTCTTCTGTTTCTGCTGTAGTTAGACAAGAATTACTCTGCAATAGGCAGAGTTACTTTTTATTGGTCAGTTGGGTCTAATGTGACTCCCCCATAAATACAAGTGCTAGAGACCTTGACTACTTCTTGTCAGATATCCTTTGAGTGACTTGGAGCTGAGTTTTCTCACTTAAAAAAATCACAGTGAAATTATGCAAAAATAAATAAAAATGAATTAAATGGACATAGGCACACTTAATACAATTTCCTGGCTAACAGGAACAATGCTGAGTGTTCTTTTATTACAACTAAGGAAGCTCTGGATTCCTGCCAGGAGTAGGCTTGTCTTCCATAAATCTCATAAGGCCCCCTTAATACTTTATTTTCAATACCAGCCTGATCATCTTTTCACTGCAATTTAGCAGAAAATATCACATGCTGCCAAATAAGCTGATACAATTAGGGGATTTATGAGGTGATAAGAGAGCCTATAGTCAAGGCGTTCCAACAAAAGAACAGCAGTTCAGCTATTTTCTAGCCTGGTACTCTCCAGAGGAAATGGTCAACACTATTCATTTGTTATTCAAAGTGAAAGGAGCTACCCAGTTTTTAAAAGAAACTTGTTGGATATACTGGGATAAATATTTAACAATGGGTTTATAAGCCATGAATTCTTCACAGACAAGATGATCCATAATTAAGTTAAATTGAAGCAGTTGTGATTAAGTCAAGTTAGCCTCCTTGAGATCAGAGGAATGAAGGATTCAATGTGAAATATACTCCTGCAGAATTTCCACTGAAAATAAAATTACTTTTAAGTAGCGGATTTAGGATCAAAATGGAAATCAACTTAATACTTAACACAGAGCATAGCAAATTCCATCAGGAAAAATACAGGCAACAGCAAAAATTGAGAGATATTTCCCAACTACTGATGCATCTATAAACCACCTCTGCAGGTAGTTCATAGCGTAACACTGCTGGCAGGGCCAGACTAAGACATTTGGGTGACTGAGGTGAAAGATAAAATAGTGCCTTCATCCCATGCTATATGCAGAAACCAGCAATGGAGATGGGATAATGTCCTTCACCACACTTGACGCAAGACAAGTTGTCTGTGTGGGATACATACACAGGTCTGTCTTCCAACAGAAGGAAACAGCTTACTGAGAGCACCACCTGAGACATTTGCCTTGCTCTACTTAATGAAAGGGTCAGTCCTGACCACTGGATATTATGATTCTAAGATGACTGGAGACAACACAACATTCCCAAAATAAAATAATTAAGCCACTTTGGGTTCCTTCTGTATCCAAGGATAGAATAGAAATCTAATACACCAATAAAATGTTATGTGAACTTATCTGGGGCTGGTTTCCACAGGCTCTGGCAGGGTTGTTGCTCAGGAGAGACATGGGGAACCATTTTAGTTTGTTATAGCAAAAACAACAGAGTCTCATGGCACCTGAAAACCTTTTTATTTAACCATCATTTTAAGAATTAGAGATTTTAGATGTTTAACAGTCACATTTTTATTTTTCTTTATGAATGTGATTTATTTATATCTTGCTATGTATTGTTTTAACATTATTGCTGATTGTACTTTTACTATTGTTGTTTTTAATTTTTGTAAGCCATTCTGAGACACTTAATCGGGAAAGACAGGATAAAAATGTTTTAAATAAATAAATTTATTATGTCAACAGGTCTTGTAGAATATAGAGCAATAGAATGATTATGTGCCATTCTAAGGAAGATCTAGAGTGTC